GCCCCGCTGCTCCGAACCCAAGCCTCACCAGGCTTCATGGCGTCCATAACCGCGAAGGCCATGTCTCGCACGGCTTCGAAGATCATCTTCTGGTCGGCCGTGAACTTTCCGTTAGCGGGGAACGAGCACGTGATGTCGCTGGCGTAGCAGTGGTACTCGCCGCCCATGTCTAGGAGAAGCATGTCGTTTTCTCTGCCAAGGAAGGACGGGGGGTAGTTGGGGCTGTGAACATCGCCAAGAAAGAGGCTTTGGGCGCGCTTGAACAAAAGTGATCACGTTCGAAATCGAATGCCTCCTGACATTGCTGTCACACACGCCCACACGCTTACGACTTGTCGGAGTCGGAGTCACGCACACCCTTACTTACCGCCGCTTTAATTGTAAACTTCCACACGAAGTACTTCGTCACACTCCAACACCGAACACAAAAGTTTGTCGTCAGTCGGCATTCGCAGCGCCCCTCCCCATAGAGCAGGCGCAACCACTCGCCATCCTCTTAACTTCGGCGCCCCCCCGGCGTCGCCATGAGTCACAAACGGTTCTCGTGTTAGGTATTTGCACCGCACACCAATCGGCACAGCTGAGGGATAAATACGTGCAAAAAAAAAACTTGGATCACTACGAAGAAGGGGAAGGTTTTGCCTTGCGCTGACCTTGCTGCCGTCGGACTCTCCCAAAACGAACATGCGAATGCATCGCAAAAACAGAAAAAGACAAGAAGCGTGCCGAATTCGCCACCAACTCGCAAACCTGCTTCGAGCCAACATGGCGGCGAGGCATATTTCGAAAACACAAGCACACGGACACACACCTTGACCAGAAGCCACCCCCACTCACCCGATCGTGCGGTCGTTAGGCGCCCCCGCATGGCCGTAGTGGAGGACCGCGCTGTTCGGCCCGCAGCCGCAGATGCTGGTGTACGCGGTGTGGCGACATCCGCCGTTGTAGTAGACCCAGTGCCGGAACATGCTCTCCAGCTGGTACTCGCGCATGCCGGGCCTCGTGCGCCGCATGACCTTCATTGAGGGGGGTTTCGAACATGGGTGTGTGGGTGCGTGAAAAATTGTGTGCGAGTTTACGGTTGTTCTGTCTGCCTGAAGACCTTGGTTGGGTCGGCTTTTCTTTCCACACGTCTTTCTTGATAGACACACACACACCGCCTGTTACTCGAGCTCATAGCGCCTCGCCGTTGGTCCGTAGACGTTATTCCGAACGGGACATGGACATACACAGAGCAGGGGCATTATCTCAGTGCTCTGTGTGCCACGCTATATTAGCGACACCTCGATAATTGACTTGGCCGAGGAGAGGAGCCCCGTCCCTGAACTTCCTTGACCCCCCCCCACTCCCCCCTCCACCCGCGGGTTGACTCTTCTCGGCGCTCCTCCAAAGTCAGGATACAAGCAGACGTTTCTTCTCATCACCGGGTTTCGTAAAAGAGCAGCACGCTTTCACTACGTTCAAAGAGATGCGGCAGGTGAAAAATGCCCAACAGTTAACGCTCCCCCCCGTACGCTCTGCTGCACCTCGAAGTGGGCCTCGCTGCTGAGGTTGGTGATGTGCTGCATGATGTCGATCTCCTTCTTGGTCTTGATCACCCGGCATTCCACGATGGCATCGTACAAGGTGGTCGAGGAGTCCGTCTCCAGCCCGTCCAGCCCGTCTACGCTCGCCGGAGCGGACCAAGCCTTACCGTCCGTGTTGTAGCCCTTGTTGAGATACACCTGCGGAGACGAAAGCCAACGAGTGCTTGGAGCATATGGGTGCTTGCTCTACAAGTTGGACCTCTGCCCTGTTGATGTTCAATGGGGGAAGAGGTTGTACTGGGGCTCGTACAGTGTAGAACGGCAGCGGCCCGCGACACCCTCGTGGTTGCTTTTCTTTCATCAGTCAGGTGGTGTTTTCGGTGCACTAGGCCAAGCAATGACGGGCATGCTCTCTGTTGCATGCGAAGATGCTACGTTCAATGTACCCGCACCGGAGCTATCTACTACTGTTAGATGTGACTTTTGTTCACTACCAGAAACATGAAGGTTGTCGCTATATCTCGCCTAACCTTTTGCGGTTGTCCCTTTTTGATGGTGGAGGCCAGTTCGTCCACAAAAAGCACCTGGTCCACTTTGTACACGTCCTGAAAGCGGCAACGGTTTCGGCATACTCGTACATATGAGGGAGGAGTCACGACGTCTTGCGGCGAGCACGGGGGGTATGATCAAGTCTGAAATCGACCGCTAACCTTGTGACAGCGAAACAAGCGCGGTCAATGTTCGAAGGCGTAAGGTCATCGACGAGAAGGGGGAGACAGCACTTCTGCGCATGTGTATGATTTTAGTGCAACGCTCCTTCAAACAGCTGTCGTATGCATCGAGGGTGAACTTGGAGGTCTACAACGTGGCCACCAAGAGACCTTCGTGTCTGATTGAGGCCAACCGTTCGTCGTATGAGAACCGAATGGGCCGAATGTGAATGTAAACCGTTCGTCAATACCGAGAATGGAATAAAAACGTCTCTGCTACAGAATGGACTAGGCAAAACCAAGCACACAGTCCTTCAACAGTGAGACTACCAAACGTACACCACCCGGCCGCCTTGCCGTGTCTATGGTACATCGTACCTGGAAGTGCTTGGGGGGAAGGATTTCGCCCATCCACGTCGCGTAAACCGCAGGAAGCCTCGGGATAAAGAGAGTCGCCTTCCCCGTCTCCAGGTCGATCGTCGCGAGGCAGTCGGGCTCCCTCACCCCGAACAGGTAGTGGAAGGTCGACTCCTGCCGGAACACCGGCTCGTGGTCCGTCTCGTCTCGGTTCGCGGCAAGCCCGCCGCGGAGCAGCAACACCCCGCGCGGCGCAACTCCGTCTGTTTCGCGCAATCTGTTGATAACCTTGGCGCGGTTCTCGGCGTGCATGGTGTAGTCCACCGGGTACTCGCCCACCGTCGGGTGCAGCTCTAGGGCGGGCATCTCCGAGGGCACCCTAGGATTCTTCTTCGACCTTTTGGCGGCTGCGCCGATGGTCTCGGGCAGGAGAGGGATCAGGGGAGGAGCGGAGGAGGAGGAGGGTGAAGTTGATGTTGAGGAAGTTGTCATCTGTGCTGCTGCCGGCATCTTCTCTGTTCTGACACTGCCCGAGGGAGGAGCGAGATGAAAGGCTAGATATGACGGCGCTGGGAGGAAGAGTGCAGCCGTAACAGCAGAGACAATACGAGGGGGCATCCAACCACTGGTTCAGTTAACGCGAGAGGCGAAGGAGATGTGTTTCCTGCTCCACAGGCGCTCTGCAGCGAAGGGGGGTGACGCTAATGGGAATGCCCTGGGGGTTTTACGACATGGCGGAGGCGTGGTGGTTCGGGGATCACCAGTCTGTGATTTGTGCGCAAGATCGATCTTTTTCGGGTTCCCTCTTGAGGCCTTCACAACAGATCTCACAGCAGTGCACAGGCCGCTGTGTATCTCCTGTGCCCCTCTGGCGTTGAATCCGCGTGAATAACTGCCCGTAAGATCTCGCTCGAGTACCAATGTCGGGCAAGTTGGTTCGAAAAAAACAACGCAACTTCGAGGACGGCACACGATACGACGGCGGATGGGAGAGAGGACAGTTCCACGGCCAGGGAACCTTGACATGGGGTAGGTTCAACGCGAGGGTCCGCTGATAATTTCCGATAATTTGGCAATCCAAGGTGAATGGACGGTATGTGGAGCTGCCACTAGCACGTTCTCTCTTTGCTGTGTATGGGACAAAGTACTACAGTACTACAGATTCAGAACATGGCTGAACCACCCGCTAGTACACCACTGATTTGGAGTGCACCACAGATTTCAGGACATGGCTACATACCACACCAGTACTCTCACACTATTCATTCATGCGCGCGCCGTTGTACGCAGTCAAAGCACCTCACGCCCATTCTGAAGTATTCTGGGTTCACGAGGTTTGTCTGCATATTGTTTGCGAAGAGGAGCTCTGGCGAGGCCCTGCTGTATGTTGTTGGCACTTCGGTCTCTACATCAAACATCTACAAGTGGTCCAGGCTGTACATATGTTTTCGCTCTAGACTGTACATCCTGTGCTTTGCTTTTTCATGTGTACGTTGTTCTCGTTCGTGTGCGCATGGCCCGTGTTCAAAGCGAATGGCTGCGTATACGAAGGTGGTTTCCATCGGGGAGAGCGCCATGGAACCGGGACCTGCACCTTCCCAGGAGGAGAGCGGTATGCGGGCGCCTGGCACAAAGGGAAGATGCACGGGGAGGGAACTCTCGAAATCAAAGGGAGAACGCTTACCGGAGTCTGGAATCAAGGGTGCGTGGTATCGTATCTCCTTACTTTCGCTGCCTCGACAGGTCCTAAACAAGACTACGCGTGGTACTTCTTACTGGGACCACCAAGGACGTCGTGGGTGATTGCAGCATGCGTTGGGTCGACTGTGGCCGCCAGTTGCTCGAACTCAAACCGCAGCCGATGCAATTACACAGGTTGTCATGTCAAATCTCTACAGTATCCTTCACCTATAGACGTGCCTGCCCTCGGAGGGTTGAAACGATGATGGTTCCACTCCACTCAACCGCCACGCCTCCCGTGTACCCATTCCGCAATCGATCAATCATACCCTATTTCCAAAGGGTTCCTGATTTTAACCCCCCCGTCGATGGCTACAAGCGTTTCGTGTTTCCTGACGGAAAGGGCGTGTATGACGGGCACTGGCGGGAATACAAGCGTCATGGCCAGGGCTCGTTTGCCTTCTCGAATGGTGACGTGTACGAAGGTGGGTTCAGTCGTTGTCTTTTTCAGACGAAGCAAAGTGACCACCCAGAATAGACGCTGTCTTCCTGGGTGTAGGTAGGTTGTGCATACAACAAGATCCTAAGGACACTGGCACTTCACGGCATCGTGATCTTCACTGTACCCATTGAGATTCGGCATCATTTCACCCATCCATATCGTTTTTACCTCGACATCCACTTGCCGGAAACGTTCTTGAAGGCCAATGGTCCCACGGGGAGATGACCGGCGAGGGAAAATACCAGCACGCTTCTGGGGAGATGTACAAGGGACAGGTCTGAAGCGTCGACCACTACTGCTGTTGACAAGAAACACAATACAGCAATGACAAGTAGAGTCTCGTGAGAATGCGGGAAGTCTTGCTGACGACTGCTGTGTCGTGAATCGGAGTAAGGGCCGCGACGATATCGTAGTCTGGATCCTAATGTATCGTGGAAAGGGGAGGTTACGCTCTACGAAGTAGTGCGGAGCTCTTTGTTCACAGGATCTGGAGATACCGGAGCGAAGAAGCAGCGTGGGCTGTGTACAGGCAGATGAAGAGCCCCTCAACCCCGACACGATACCTGTGCCTCATATACCCATTCAATTTCCCAAACATACCGGCTCGGGGCATCAGTCCCACATCATCGAGTCACGCTGCGTCCCATCAACGTAGTCACGACATAAGTCCCTCTCGAAAATCATGTAGTCCCAACCTTGCTCGGTGGAGTTCACAGCTAGCTGTGTCACTTCAACTCATTCCGCCTTTCATGCCTTCTATCCCCGTGGATGTACGATCACCTTGGGTTTAGTTCAAGGAAGGGCGCATGCACGGACAGGGGACCTACTCGTGGCCCAGCACCAGGCAGTGCTACACAGGGAAGTGGAAGGAGGGGTTACGGCACGGCCACGGCCGCCACTACTTTCACTCGAGCTCCCCGGGTGACGACTGTAACCCCGAGACGGCGACGGGGGGGGACTACTACGACGGAGAGTGGAAGGAGGGCGTGATGCATGGGGAGGGAGTTTACGTGGACGCCGGGGGCGAGAGGCACGCTGGCCAATGGGTGGACGGAATCTGTCCGGAGGTGAATAACGGGGAGAACGCACAGCATTGCGGAGAAAAGCACCATCACGAATGGTTGTGCACGATAAGAGGACGTTCGCTGTCTCGCTATAGCGTGTACATCACTGCCTTTTTTGTGTGTGTATTGTACTGTGGCTAGCTGTGGTAGGGATTGAATCGGTACTCTTACTGATGATCTCCGCTCCCGCGATTCCTCCCCACGAACCTCAGGTGGACTTCTCGTACGTGCCGGAGGGCCGCGGCAGCTTCCGATACAGTTTTTCGGTAGGGGAGAAGTCTCGGGAGGCAATCGAAATAGTGGTTGTTTGGCAGGAGACCAGTGGGCATTCCCATCATCAGCGGCGTTATGAACGTCGGTGGCGTGTGTTTCAGACCGAGGAAGTTAACGGAATAAGTCTGTTCGTTGAAATATGGCAGGAGAGCCGTTTCAGCTTTGTCATGAGGATGATGGCAATGATGATACCGACCAGCACCACCAGCAAGCCGACAGCGCGGCTGACACGAGATCCGATTTGTAGCCTAGAGAAAAAGATAAAGTTAAGATGCGGTCAGCGGTCGAAAATATGGGGTGACTTATCTCCAATCTCAGCGGAGACATTCATTCGTCGTGTGTCACACACCGTCGGCGCCTGTCTGTCCTATCGCGTCAGGGTGGCACGTACGAAGGAGAGTGGCTGAACCGAGCGCCACATGGACAGGGCCGGATGGAATACAGCGATGGCACCGTGTACGTCGGGGGCTGGCAGGATTTCAAGTTTCACGGCTACGGCAAACTCGTTCAAAGGGGGGTAGTGTTCGAGGGGGAGTGGTCGGAAGGGCGCATGCACGGCCCTGGCAGCGCTGGGGCAATACATAAAGTTGATGATGCAAGGGTTGATGTTGCCGGGGAGCAAGAGCTTGCCGTGGGGAAGTAGCAAGTGTACCTACCCATGGTCCTTGAAAATGTGAGGTCGACACAAGGTTGAACGTCTGTCATTGCAGCAATGCTTCGAGGGAAAGCAACTTCTCTATATTGCGATTGAGGCCTATCTGGGCAAATTCACCGCTCAGAAGTATCGGAGAGGAAACGTGGCAGTGAAACAACATTCGTGTGCCACCGTGCGAGGGATGTGTGAATGTATGGGCGTGTCCTTGCGTTCTGCTTTCTCGCGGACAAGGCTGAGAGCCAACGTTGTGGCGCTATGCAATGTAGAGAAGCTGCGCGGCATGCAGGTAATACTATCATTTTAGCATTTTGATAGACAATTTTTTCAGCGTGGGTTCATGTTGACCCACCCCCCCCTGGACTTGCCACGGCTGGGTGACAGACACCTACACACGTACGTGACGGGTGATGGCTCTGCGGCCTTGTGAAGGCCGCGAGCATTGGTTGTAATTGTAGTCTATACCACATATTTGTACCTAGTACCTTTTTCTTTTTGGTTCGATGAGGTTCGCTGGACTCCTCGACTAAAAAAACACGTCCGATGTGCTAGCTATTCGAGCTCGGCAAACTAGCATATCGCAGCTGGCAGCTGATTCACACCGACACACGTGCTTCACTTTCACCTTGGACATGCTATTGTGGCACTACTACTATCATCTGATGATGATGAACCCACTCCGAAGCCTTTCCGTGTAACCTCTACAACAGCAGTGTTCTTTCGGGCTCTGAGTATTGGGGGCGGGCTCTTCAAATACGAACGACATGGTGCGTTGTTCTGATGCGTTCCTTGTAGTGACATGGACGTTAATTGTTTGATGGTAATGGGCCGGTACGTGAGGAGGGTGGGGGGTGCTCGGTTGCCAAGCCTGGACAAAAACAATAATTGGACCTTGAACCCATCAATTGCACGACGAACGGCGAATACTCGACAATATACTGTTCTTTCGTTCCTTCTCCTATACGAATCCGGGTTTCTCGTGCCTTTATAGCGCATTTTCTCGAGAATATTTGTCGGTGGGCTGATAATCAGTCAAGGGGCACATACTTTGGCCGTCGTTTCACTACGGCCCGGGAGACTACTAATTTACTGCTGTGTATGTCAGGTACGTTCCGGTATGTAGACTAAGACACCGGACTTAATCTCCTGTGAAAACATGCTAGCTCCGTGCTTCCCACCCCGCTTGTCGATCTGCAGGGCCGATGCCTGTTCCGTCCAAGCTGCCCACGCTTGTATTGCACAGCTCCAACAGCTCACCTCCTGCGATCGTTCGGTCGAGCTCGCTTCTTCGACGATCATAGACTCTGCAGGCTGACATAAAATTGCAACATGTTTGGATTTTTTGGTTGATGTTGGTTGACAGATCCTAGAGGTATCTGAAGTCGACCATGCTCCAGCGCAGGGACGCTACTTCTTTAGACCTGGACTGATGGGCGAGAAGCGCGTTGTGGGTACCTCTACAGGGGGCATCGACCGGATGATCTGATATATGTTGATTGGTTCCAAGCCTAGAGCAATAAAAATAAAGAAAATAAAAAAAGGAAGGAAGAAGAGGAGGAGGGGTCGGAAGGTGCGTAGGCTGATTAGGGATGCAGCACGCACCGCCCGGCAGAGGCGGCAGGGTCGACTTGTTAGGGTAGCAACCTACAATGTGCGTACACTGGCCGTGAACGGGGCCAACGGCTATGGGAGAGCCGACAGCGTCTTACACGAGGCAGCGAAACAGGGCATTTCGTTTGTCGGTCTGCAGGAGGTCAGGAGACCAGGGCGAACGGAGTTCGCAGCATCCGGTTTTCGGGTGTTCACCTGTGGCACGGACAAGGGTGGTACGCATGGCGTCGGAATCGCTGTGGAGGAGACGCTGTGCAAATCCTCCCAGTACACCACGGAGTACGTGGACGAGCGCCTCATGGCTATGAGGTTTGAGATGATGGGCCAC